CCAGGGCTAAAAGAGTGGCGTTGCTGTGCCACGCGGTGGTATTAGGTAATAATAATAAAAAAAAAACATCGGTCGCGGTCCAAGAGCGGTGTCGCTCTGTGCACGGGGTGCCCCCTTCCCGCTCTATACTTGCGCCATTTCCTCGTTCTTTGCTACCAAACCGAACAGAAACGCTGGCTACGCGGGCTATGGCGGACCGAGAGAGCGGTGTCGCTCTGAGCCGCGGGGGGGCGTTGAAAAAAAAAAAAGGATCGGTCGAGGACCGAGAGAGCGGTGTCGCTCTGTGCCACGGGGTGGCTAAAAAAAAAAAAGGAGAGAGATCGGTCGCGGACCGAGAGAGGAGTATCGCTCTGTGCCACGGGATGGTGTTAAAAAAGAAAGGATCGGTCGAGGACCGAGAGAGCGGTGTCGCTCTGTGCCACGGGTTGGCGTTAAAAAAAAAGGAGAGAGATCGGTCGCGGACCGAGAGAGCAGTATCGCTCTGTGCCACGGGATGGCGTTAAAAAAGAAAAGATCGGTCGAGGACCGAGAGAGCGGTGTCGCTCTGTGCCACGGGATGGCGTTAAAAAAGAAAGGATCGGTCGAGGACCGAGAGAGCGGTGTCGCTCTGTGCCACGGGTTGGCGTTAAAAAAAAAGGAGAGAGATCGGTCGCGGACCGAGAGAGCAGTATCGCTCTGTGCCACGGGATGGCGTTAAAAAAGAAAAGATCGGTCGAGGACCGAGAGAGCGGTGTCGCTCTGTGCCACGGGATGGCGTTAAAAAAGAAAGGATCGGTCGAGGACCGAGAGAGCGGTGTCGCTCTGTGCCACGGGTTGGCGTTAAAAAAAAGGAGAGAGATCGGTCGCGGACCGAGAGAGCAGTATCGCTCTGTGCCACGGGATGGCGTTAAAAAAGAAAAGATCGGTCGTGGACCGAGAGAGCGGTGTCGCTCTGTGCCACGGGATGGCGTTAAAAAAGAAAGGATCGGTCGAGGACCGAGAGAGCGGTGTCGCTCTGCGCCACAAGGTGGCGTTAAAACATAGGGGTGGGGCCGAGGAGGCCACCGCCCCCGCTTATTTTGTGAAATTTTGTGCTTATTTTCGTAAAGAATTCACAGCAAATAAAAGTATCTATATAACCCGTGAGTGTCCCGCTTCCGCTCTCTGATTTTTTTCGATCCGCTCCCAATGAAGTAGATAAGGTGAAGTTGATGTTACCCCGGAACTAGATACCTCATTCAGTTCGGAAAATGGATAGTTGGGTTGGGTCAGTAAACCACAACACATTCAGCTTGTAGTTTTATAAAAGTGGAGAAAAAAATTGCTGTACTTCAATTATCTCTTCATTAAACTACTTATCCTATACCTTTATACAACCGTTAATTATTGCGTAGAGTTCACAGATTTTTTTCGCAACCTTATACGTACACAGGGACGCCAAAAGCGTCGAGACTCAAAAACACCTTTTCGTATCTCTAACTCGTTTCCCTTTTAAAGCACAAAATTGAATCTTTGCTCACTTATTGCTGCTATGTTTGTATTTAATTTGATTTTAATGATTTTTGTTATCTCTTAAAAAATTATGGGAATATCACTTATTGGAACCTTAGCGCAAATAGGGCGCTTTTGTAACTTAACTGATTTGGAGACATGGGTAACCAAAAAAAATCACAAAAAAATAACAAACCATCAGATTCTTACCAACTTTGCATCATTAGGTACCTAAGTGGTTGCTTTAACTGTCAGGAAATTTTCATCACATTTCATTTAGTCAGAGTGCCATAATCGACTTTTCAAACTCTCGATGCAATTAACGGGCTTTTTGCGAATCCTGAAACTTTTCATCGACATGAAAAGTCAAACACATACACGGCAGATCTTTTTGAGCGCAAATATCTCCAATTTAAAAGGCTGTGGTAGTCGAGAGAATCGTGTAGCATATAAATGGTAAGGTATAAGCTACAATTTCCCGAAGAAATTGTTTTAAAAGCTTTTAAAAAAGTGCTTACCACGACATAGGGCGCTTTTGTAACCTCTCGGCTACATTTTGATGGCTTATTCTATGCTTTTTTAACGTAAGGACTTGCCGAGGAGAGGGGCATGGACAACTGAGGGTAACCGTGATTACTCCTCCCCCCACCCCTGCAAGGCCTGTGAAGCTAAAGAAGGAAGAACACAGATTCTCCATTCATGTATTTATTTTTTATTTAATTATATTGTAATAATTACTATAATTTGGCAAAATTTGGGTGGCAGGGAAGGCAGAGCCTATGCCCCCTAGGGTAGCGGTGTCCCTAGGAGGACCCCCTAGAGTAGCTGTGTCTCTATAGGCAACCCTACATTAGAGTGTAACATAGGGTGGACCAGAAGAGGGGTGCCCTTCTGGAAGGAGAATAGGTCAGATGGTGAGTTGTACCATCTTGGAGTATAAGTATAAGTATAAACGGTGGCAACATAATGAGTGGTATAATGTAACAAACTATGCCATAAAATAACCGAACTAAAATGGAATACAATGAAATAGTATAACGTAAACATTTGCAGGACAAAGCACAGCCATAACGATTAGACAAGACAAAGGGAGGGTGGGAGGGTGGGAAAACTACAATCTTAAAAAGTGTGAGTAGGCACTTGCTTGAAGAACAAAGCTGAAATGTGGCTGACTAATGGTATGAGGGGTTTACATAAGGCGAGACAGGTGAGAATCATGCGATATTGTGGAAAATTACTGGAAGCTTTGGCAACCACTTTAACATCGTAAAAGTAAAAGTACTTTGAGCTAAACAATGAGCTATTGACTACTGCACAAGCCTTGATTGCAAGAGTGAGGAGAGTAGAGTACACTAGGGACAAGTGAGGAAAGAACTAGTACTCCCTTAGAGCTCATTAACCCCAGTTAAGAGCTTAAACTTATAATTTACACACTCATCCTCTCTTGGTTTACACGGGTTCCGATAAATTTTTGAACCGGCGAATTTTTCACCTGTCGTGAACAACCCATTTACACTGAACCGTGCAAATTTTGCTAGATTGCAGTAGTGTATTTTTTGTCGTTGAAAAACTTAGACGGTTTCGTGGGTCCAGAGTTAACGAAAGGCGAATTTGAGCATCTTTTTGTCAGTTAAAAATTGTCCTGGGGTCTGAAATACCCTTGTTTGCTTCTTTTAGCATTCAGTGCTACTTATCACGCGAGAAAATGCTTATAAGGAGACAGCTCCAGAGAGACCATGAAAACTCTCCCTACAAGTAGTTAGAAAGATGACGTTAAAAGAGATGTCTTTCTAAGGACTTTCCTTCCTCTTTCCACGCCTGCCATGAGAGCCTCGCGACCTATGGACAGCCCAAGCGCTAGGCTGTATTTATGGACGTTGAATGGGTTTCCGATTCTTCCAAAAGGAGGTCATTGTTAGTGATGGCCCCTTTGATAAACAGTGACCTATATTTGACCCCTCACGCTTTAGATAATCCTTCCCCATTTGTGAAATTATTTGAATATTTGGTTGAGTTCTGTGAAATTGGACCAATCATACTGCGTAGCTATTTTTGGATCTACCTTACTTAGCCCCCCGCTAATGATCAACTGTTCTCTTAAATTGTCATAATTTAGAAGTAGCATGAACATCTGCAAAATGTGTCTAAGTCATGCTGGCGATTAAACTTACTCTGAAACCTATACTAAGTGGAAACCTTGTTCGGGGAATGCTCTACTGTCCGCTAAATACAGGTGTCTGCCTAACACAGGTTTCGACATAGAACGTCATACGAGGAGTCAAATACCATTCAAATGAACGTTGGAACCGTTTGGAATATTCCCAGAGAGTACAGCCGGATAAGTTTGAATTAATTTCTTAGGACCAATTAATCAAAACAATTTAAGCGTACTTTGTACCTCAAATTACAATTATGAGAAGTGAGAAAACAGTAGATAGCTGATCAAAAGGTTACGAAGAAGGCTGCAATTAGGCATCACAAGGTTTCTGATTTTCTTGTACAGTGGCCAGAAGGCCAATACGTTACGTAACTCAGTCAGCTCTCATTGCTGGCCTTATCCCGACTCCACCCCTCACAGGACGAATTACAGATTAAGGAACAACATTTTGCCTTTTGTTTTGAACAAACTGTCCATTTTAAGTATCACTGTCTCACGACCAAAATCATGCCCGATTGATCATAGCTGCAATTGTAAACCTGCATGATTACCTTCGATTACAGCAGAACCTCTATTCAAAGGTCCTGCACGGGACCGAGGCAGGTCTCCTGAATAAAGGTGTCCCCTGAATGGAGATTAAGCTGGGATTTGTTAATAATTTAGAAACAAAGGCAATATATCTTTTATTCTGCCTCAGAATCTGCTGCAGTCATTAAAACAGCCAAATAATGTGTAAAAACACATGGCCAACTTATTTTTACGATATTGTGTGTTGAATTTCCACAAATTTAAGTAAGATAACAACAACAACAACATAAGCTTTATTTGCATGACTATAATTATGTAGCTACAGTATTGCAAAAGCTTTAACATAAGATAACATAAGATAGTTCAGTTAGTGAAAGCTAACATCACTATGACTAATTTACTCTTAGAACGTATCAACCCTCTATGTGGTCAGACATCTTTTGAGTGCTAAGGTGTCCCCTGAATGGAAGTTAAACCAGGGTTTTAAGACATAGAAAAAGTGTCTCTTCCCCTTGAATAGAGGTGTCCCTTCTATAGAGATAACAGATACAAAGATTATGTCAATATTTTTCCGGAACCAAATTTTGTGCCCACTGAAAGGAGGTGTCCCAAAGAAGAGGTTCCTCTGTATCTTGCTCGTCAGTCGACCGATGATGATGATGATGATGTTAATGATGATGATGATATTTCCGCGAATGTGTGCTCGCTGTACTTCATGCAAGCGCCTAAATTAAATCCCGGATAAATTCATGCTGCTCGTGTCAGGTGTCACACTCGGCCTCAAACTGGAATTTGCATTATATATTAAAATTACATTATCAGGCAAGGTATACTTTTAGTAACGTTAAAGAGGAATGTCAACATTTTCATTTTGTCGACGTCTAAATATCGAGATTAGAGCCTGTTTGAACTCTGGAATTCTAACAGAGTATAGAATGGGATTAACAAAAGAGTTTACACCAACCAAAACCACCGAGGAATATGCAAAAGGAGGTGAGGTAAAGATATGGGTACTATTGGTGGCATAAAGAACAAAAAGATGCAAAACAAGTGGAAGAGACAATAGTAAAGATACAGTAGTCATTATGAACAATGTTACAGTCAGTTTTCTTTGTCTATTCACTGCACCATGGTGCTGGGGATATGCTCCACACAAAAATTTAATAGAAATACAAGCGTACGAAACACAGATAACAAACAGACAAAAACAGTAGTATATTGGCCAGAGGATAATAATCTTGTTTGGGGAACCGAAATTTAAGCGGAAAATTGCCACACTTAGCACCATCGCAGGAAAAATCCAGACAGCAGTAATTGCTACCCCGTAGACCCATTTTGTGATAACACGATGCTTGAATGGACGAAATGTGGCATGCATCCGCTCTAAAGAGATCACAGTAATATTTGTCACGGAGACAAGAGGTGAAAAAGGAACGAGAAAATAAAACAAATCCAAAGAATATAATGTCACATTTAGAAAGTCACAAGAAAATCGCAAGGAAATCGATGGAGAAAGACTTCCGGAAAGAAGACCAACCAACATGTCAGCCAGGGTCAGGTTTATAACCAAGTACATGGCACGAGTGCGAAGATTTCTGTTCTTTAGAAAAACAATAATTGTAAGAAGGTTGACTGATGCGATGATAACTGACCCAGTTACGAATACGGCAAACCAGGTAATACACTCAGATGTAGAAGTCATCTTGAACTCTGTTTTTCTTTCACTTTTCTTCGGGCGTTTTTCGTTGCTTGTGAACTGATCTGTTGAAAGCACAACGACTTTGATTAGCTAAAAAAGGTATTAATAAAAACCCTAATGTCAAATGTCCTCATACTTACTTAATAAGACTTGGTGACATTAGCGTCAAATATGCCAATACATGTATTTCGGAAAATGTTTTGTAAAGTAGAAAGAAGTAGAAAGTAGCAAAGTAGTAGAAAGAGACTGGCCATGGAAACTCTGATATTTGAGACGTTGTCCCGATTCTAGAGAAAGTGTATGGAATTTTATCTGGTTTCTTAACTGCTATTTTTAACTCGTGGGTACGCGCGAGCGTACCACGAGTTATTGCAGGGACAGGGATATGCAAATGAGTCACTCGCTCACTCGTAGTAGACGCACTTCGTAATTAATCGGGTCCGAACTCGAGAGCGCGAAGATCTATCGTTTCCAAAGAAGCACGCGCTCGCCGAAGTTCGGTGGCATCAAATTCCTCGCTGAGAGCGTGCATCGTGCGCTACAGCACGGTTAGAGGATAGAGGTCTTACCAAATTTAAGACACGCAGGAATCTTTCAGATTAGTACGATTCAAGAGCCTTTGACTCGTCCAGGTGTTAAACTTAACGAGAAGATGAGCATTTGCTCTTCGACTCCTTCAACTTCGACGCTGGCTTGATCTCCTACCTTGTAGTAATGTAGTAGGTTATGTGTATGAATGAATGTATGGTAAATAAAGGCACTTCTTCTTCTTCTTAAGTACTCCCCAAGGTCACAGGGGGAAATAGATGTGATTTTGAGCATTAGCTTTAAAATGACAGCGGAAATCGAGATAAGAAAACATAAGGTTATGTTTTGCGTCCTATTTCGCGGAGGAGTTGTGTCGGCTTTGTATCGCATATGTTCTTTCATTGCCATGAAATGCGTTTACATTGTTTTTTACTGTCAGTAGCCTGGTTTCAATTAGCCTTAATTTCATCCGATTGCTTCGAGTCGTTTTTTCAATCGGTTAAGTATGGCTCGATCGTTTGCCGGCGGAAGTTCCATGGAAAACGCATTAAATTTGAGACTTTTCACCAAATCATGTGATCATCCTCAATGGCGTAGTGGCTATGAGAAGTCGGGTCAGCTCGGAGGCACCGTGTTCAAATTCTGCTAACGGCCTTCTTTTTCCCTTCTTCCTTTTTTTTCTCTTTTTTGTTTTGTTTTGTTTGCTTATTTGTTTAGCTGGTTTTTTTTGTTTTTGTTTTTGTTTTTTTTTTTAACATATACCTAAATAACTGTTAGTAAAGTACAATAAACAGCAAGAAAAGTATTCCGTTTCCACAACAGCGATTGTATTCTCGGCTTGCACTGTCACGCAATGAAAAATAAAAATGCAAACCATTCAATACAGCAGGACTAGAATCTGGGAAATGAAAAAAGAGAAATATACAAAAACCCTTGCCAAGAATCAGGTCTGTAAAATATTTCAAATGCGAGATATTGGGAAAAACGGTTTACCTAAATTTATAAAGCTTTGTATGGAAACGCCATGTTGGTGTCCTTTTCAGGAACACCAATATGGCCGCCGGATACCAACAGAAACATCTGTTTTTGAGTTTTCCTACTAATGCGTGAATTCTTCGCTTGAGGAACTCATAAAGATTACAGCAATATTTATTCTGAGGTTTGGAATGTTTAGATTGCAAAATCTCCGAAAATTGGTAATGTTTTTTAACCCACATAAGAGCTTTCCCGGCCGCCAGCTAAATGCCGCGTCACGCAAAAGCCTGGAAATTCAAGCGTCCTCTCTCGCAAAACGAAGAACCCTTTCGAACCAAAAATCTGTTTATGTAAAGGTGTTTAGGTACTGTAATACCTCGTGAAAGTAGAAACTCAGAAGAATCGATAGTTTCTTAGTTTGATTTTTGGTGACGTCACGTGCAACCCAAGAATATAACCTGAATTTCTATCATTTCCTAAAATTTACTGTGGGAAAACCAGAGGTGATATCTAATTGATTATTTTCTAAACAACGTACCCACGAGTTGACGATAGTCTTTCTTTGATTTTGTTTACAAATCAAATGTGTACAGAGTGCATTATGCTCACGTTATTTAAGTAAAAGATTAAGCTGTTATTGTAGAAAATACGAAATAAATAAATAAATAAATAAATAAATAATAATAATAATAATAATAATAATAATAATAATAATAATAATAATAGGCTTTATTTAAAGAGGGTAAAACACTTAACAGTAGTCCTAAGACACTGATGACTCTGTGGCCCTCAAAACAAATTACAAATATAGATCCTACAACTAAAAACTACAAAATATACTATTATCAAAGATAATTTAGGATAAAATATAATAGACAATTTCTAAAAAAGACATTATAGCTAAGATAGATAAGAACAACATAAAACGTATATACAGTTACAGTCTAAGGAGCATCGCAGCCTTTTGTTCAGCTAGAAAGGATTTAAAAACATTATCCTTAAAACTTGCCAGCGAGCCATTATTTCTTATATTGGCATTCATGCAATTCCAGTCCTTTATAGTCCTAATAGTGAAAGTATGACCTCCTTCTGTTTCTCGTTTATACTTGGGGCACACCAAATTTATGTTTGAATGTCTAGTGGCTCGATTATGAATTTCTGAATTTCTGACTAATAGACTATTCAAATAAATAGGCGTAGTATAATTGTGGACCCGCTTATACACTAGTGCGCATCTCTTTATTAGAGATTGTTTAGTAAAAGGGAGCCAGTTTAGATTATTGAATAATACGACTGATGGTGTAAGTCTTTCAGCATCAAGAATAATGCGTGCCGCTCTTTTTTGAAGTTTTAAAATACTTTGAAGATGTTCAACATTGCAGCTGTCCCATATCATGCTCCCATACAGGAGGGAGGGCTTTATAACACCATTGTAATAGGTTTCCCTTTAACGTTGCTTAAGAAACGGGCTAATATGCTTCAACAGTCCTATGCGTTTAGAAAGTTTCTAACATAGTTCATCAATGTGTGATTCGTAGTTCATTTGAATATCTATAACTACTCCTAAACAAGACATCGACTTCATCAATTAATCTAACTTAACATCTCTGACCTTCACAAAGTCGTCGTTTACGGACTATATCCAAAGTCCCTAATTTTTGCATTTAAATAATCAAAACTCGTTCTCTGTATAACTCGTTTAATTTGAAGTTGACTCCAAAAATTTTTCCTATCCGCTGTACTGTAGCGCTGAGAACATCGACTTGTTGTCAGCTGAAAGTTCTTTTTACCTTTAACAAGGAAAGTTTTATTTTAGCACACAGCTGACAATGAAGTGTCCGCATTAGTGAGGTTGAATTGCTATGAGAATCTTTTGATTCAGAGCAAGAAACAAGTGTCCGTTGTCTGCATTGACGGATGCTCGTACTAAGGGGGCTGAACTTAGAGAAAGTGTAAGAGCTTTCGCCGAGGACAAAAAAAACTGTCCGTAATAACGAGGTGTTCGTATTAAGCGGATGTCCGTAAAGCGGGGCTAAACTGTTTCTGGAATATAGCAAGGATCCCGGAATCTCGCACTAACGATTGAAGTCCGGAATCCAAGTTCTACTGACAAAGAATCGAGAATCCAATAGCTGGAATGCGGAATCCACGGCGTAGAATCCAGAATTCAAGACTGTCTTCGATTCCTTTACAGAGAGCGATCTATGTTTTTCAATCAAAATTTCTTACAATACCATAAAAATGAAAACTGAAACCTTTATATAACAGTAAATAACCCGCAACTACGAACCTGGTTTTTATGAACCTGTTGATATAAATTTTGCCAGATAGGCCCCCTCTATACAATAACCTGTTTAGCCTAAATTAGAAACAGGTTCATATTTTCTCAAATCTATAAAAAACGTTCTGTACAATTGGGAAAATAAGATAAATCAACTTTCAGGATCTTCTTTGGAGACAGAGATGCCTTATTACTCCCACTGCACGTGAACATTTCAAGGACAAAGCTCTCCACGCTCTCTTCAGCTTGAGACGACACACGAATCTTAGCAAACTAAAAACAGCCCTCGCCTGTAAAACACTTGATACTATGATCTCTCCTATTCTAAAATATAACAGTGAAATTTGGAGTGGGTATGCCAAACCAGATTTTAAGACCTGGGACGGCGCACAAGTCGAGAAGACACACCTTCATTTGCAAACGGTACTTTCAATTAATAGAGGTAAACAACAAAGCTTCTAATATAGCTTGTAGAGCAGAGCTTGGTTGTTTTCCTTTAAATATCACTATCAATCCAAAAATTTTTATATATTCAGTCTAAAGATGAGGAATCTTTCGTCAAACAATCTTTTTTAATGTCATTTGACTTAAACTGTAATCGCAAAAATAGCTTCCACTCTCATTTGATGAATATGCCAGAATATTTTAACCTACCTGACTTTAATCCTGATTTATTACGGAAACCTCTTTGGTAAAAAGCTATGTAAGTTCAATGGAACAGGAATATATATATTCATATATCTCATATATATTTCATACTGGCAAAACACCCCCCAACATTCTCAGAAACTTAAATTTTATAGATCTTTTAAAACCGATCATATACCATCTCTGGTTACTTAGACTTAACAAGAGGAACAGCTGGGAGAAGGGCTTTTGTAAAACTATTAATACGAATAAGCAATCACAAACTAATGATAGAAATAAGCAGATACAATCAAACTACGAAGGATAATAGACATCGGCCGTTTTGTGGATCCAATCTAATAGAAGACGAAGTTCAATTTCTTTTTCGCTGTCCTACATACTCTATGATTAGGAATAATTTTTACAATAAAATCAAGACTCTGATTCCAAATATTACCCAGTTACCTGTAAACGTTTAATTTGATCAATGAGCTGATAACTCCTCTAATTACTTTATCAACATACAATTCATAAAATATATCTATTTCAGCTTGCTTTGATGTTCGTGACAAATTATTACCAAAGTAACGTA